AAATCATCACTCAACCGTTTGAAAAGGTCGAAAAAGAGCCTGCAGAAGCTGACAATGTTCCATATTAAAACTGCAAAATCATGACTGTAAGGTCAGTTGTTCTTAGCGCACGCACAGCACATATTTATCGACCCATTCACGCAGAGATCAATGGGGTCAGCAAGAAAAGAATAAAACATGTAGGTTCTGTATAAATAAATAAATGTGGATTAAAATGTGCTTCCTACTTCCATTTGTGAAACACTGCATTGCAGAGGCAGCTGGCTGTTTGTGGCAGGTCCAGATAAGAGCCGCTGGAGCCTCATGTTTGTCAGTGATAGAGGCTGGGTACACAACTGTCTAGGAGTAAGCAGACATGACATACATCTTCCTGCCTTTGGCTACTCAAACATTGCACGGGTTATTGCCTCTGCTACGCACCAGCAGCACACAGCTAAAGCACGTTTCACAATGATCATGGGCCCTTCCTTTCTTTCTGCCACTGTACTATGTTCCTGGGAAATGATTTCAAAGTCCAATGTTCAATATTGACTCAATATTGCTGCGTTACTTGTGTGCCAAGTCTTTTACAGACAGCATACGCTATTTTAAAGGAAATGGCACGCATCACCTCACCCCCAACAAACAAAGATTCAGGTCACACATGTAGCATGAGAAGACTTGGAAAGCGTGTCATGTCACTGTGACATAAACAAAGAAGTTAATCATACCCATGAACGCCTGTTGTGTTTTTACATACTGAAGAAAAAAAACAAAAAACACAGGCAGTCTGATTAATAATAAAAAACATTTAAGATTCACCAACATCCAAATTAAAAACATAACTCCCTCCTTTCTTGAACGATAAGATTTTATCACAACTAACAATATATAGCACTCAAGGATTTGTCTGTGTCCTTTACTTTTGTGTATTGCCAATATAAGCAGAGGTAAGATGATAACTTGCATGACTTGGCCTTTTTCACAGACATTTTGTAACCCTAACAAAACACTCCTACAAATCTCTGACTTGGATTACTTTGTATTTCAAAACATATCACAAAGCAAGTGCTGTTGTTGACCGATCTTTCTGGGCAGATGAGATCCCAACTCTGAAAAGGTGATTTAACTGATGGCCGCGAGACACCAACTACCCACTCAGGTTTGTTCAGCTGATTAAATTTTTACTAGAATTGTTGAATTGAGTACAGTACGAATAAAGGCCACCAAGTCAGTAAACTAAAATAGAGTTTTCCCTATTGTACATATGCAGGGGTTTTTAACTAAAAACTTGGTGATGTAAGAAATCACTGCAAATGAGAACGTTTATCTGGCAGCAGGAGCCAAACCTACACGACATCACATCAACCCACAGCCACCAACACAATGCTCCAAACACATGCAAAATTTATACTTCTTTTGTGTCTCATTAAATGTCTCTTAGGCTACGTTCACACTGCAGGTGAAAACGCATCAAATCCGACTTTTTTGACCCTATGCGATCCATATCCGATCATCAGCACAAATCCGATATTTTCAAATCCGACCTGGGTCACTTTTGTATGTGGTACTGAATCCGATACATAGCTGGTGTTTTAGAAAGCGACTGCTGTTTGAATGGTCATGTCGCATGAAATCCGTCTTTTACGTCACTGACACAAGACAGACGCCAATTATCAGCGCCCAAGAAGACATCGTGAACGCTTCCTGGCCATCCAGTGTAGATGTCAGTGAAACTGTTGGGAAGACAATGTTGGAGAAACGTGAACATTTTATTTGTACTGTATAATCTGCAGATTCTGACAGAAATCTGCAACTATCCTTTGAAGCACTACTCCTCTCTAAAACAGCAATAAGGATCATTATTAGGCCATATGTAAATAACAAAATAACTTTATAACTTAAAGCAAAATTGGGAAACGTAAAGTCCGAAACAAGTCTTTATATTAAGGGCCATCAGTCAAAGAATACTGTTTGCTCTGGGTCTAAACAGAGTGTGACGTCTTCTTTTGCGCATGCGGGCCGCTTTGAGGGTTCACACTAGAGCGTGTTTGCTGTTACATTTTATTTGTAGTGTGAACAAGCAGACAAAATAAATAAAAATAAAAAAATCGGATTTGATCAAAAAATCGGAACTGAGCATTAAGACCTGCAGTGTGAAGGTAGTCTTACAGTATATAAACCTGTTAGGCGAGTTAAGCTTTAACCTCATTACTTAAACTACAATATGGTAGGTATTTGCAAAGCAAAAGTATAGCTGCTTTGACAGGGAAATTGTTTAACTTCTGTTTTAAGAATTGCATCATGAATTACACTTTGCCACGTAAAGTTATCTTTTCTCTTAATCCTTTATAAGCAATGACTAAAAGCAATTCGAAATGCTGAAAGTAAGATAAAAAACAAAAAACAAAGTTGAACACAAGCTGATTAATTCTTTCCTGAAAAGAAATTAACTTGTGGTTGCAGGAGTTTGGCAGATCACAAATATTGAAAATGCCTTCAAGGTGAGGATCTGAAGGCAAACTATAGGGAAGCTGTGTCTATACTAGAGAATAAAAGTACCTTTGATAAAGTGTAGACCTCATACAGCTTCAAGTGAACTAAAAGCTTTCTATTCTGTGGCTTTACACTCCATAATGCCACTGAAGTTCGGCCTGTTGATAAACTTCGACTCTGTCATGATGAAAGTGAAAGGAGACGCTTTTTGACCAGAATGCTGCCTGACAGAATCCATGGTTGAACTTCTTCTTTCTGTTGTGAAATATCCCAGCTATGACATGGCGATAAAGCATTGATGAAAATATGTTTAAGCAGACTTGCTTTGCTGCTGGCTACAGAAACAGCTTCTCATCAGTGCCCCCAGGGTGGCTGTGGCTACAATGTAGCTTACCATCACCAGTGTGTGAATGTGTGTGTGAATGGGTGGATGACTGGATATGTAAAGCGCTTTGGGGTCCTTAGGGACTAGAAAAGCGCTATATAAATACAGGCCATTTACCATTTATATCTGCTTCCAATTACGTTTGCGTCTGTTGACGCTGATTGTACAACATAAAATGATTCCCCATGATGTAAGTGTTTTGTATTCTTTTCTTTTATATGAGTGTATATAGTATATGAACTTGTGGAGTTCTGATCTTGCTCCTCAGTTACATTCACGTGTTCTCCTTTTGTTCTACTTGACTGCAAACATTTTAGAGCACCCTGTATCTGATTTTCGCTTTTGTACAAGTACGTAAAAACAAACTTTGTTCAGACATCTTACTAAAGAAAAGATTCTCCTCGAAATTAATCAACGTTTCAGCTGCCACAGAAATTACATTCAGTGTCTGATGTAACACAGATAAGCAGGTTTGTTCTGAACTATGAACGTGACATTTTCAGGTATTTTACTGGACGCGGGGTCCTGCCTAAGGGTCAATAGTTAATAAGCCAAATATTTGGACATTTCTCCATGGCCTTATGAATTGTATCCAGTTTGAGAACACAAAAGAACTGGCCATAGAAAGTTAGAGTGATTACTTAACACAACATCCACCAATTCATTGGCAGAGCTAGGAGTCCAGGACTTCCTTTGTAAACTAAAAATACCCTGGCCAGGCAAACTTAATGATATCCAGAGCTGAGTCGAAAGTTCGTGTCCTGTTAAAAAATGATAGTGTCACTTAAAGCCTAAATTGGGGGACGGTATTCTGACAATACCATCCCACAATTTTTCTTGACGACTGTTTTGTTTTGTTTTGAAGTTTAGCTATGTGGCTGCCATTAGCATGCTAGCCCCAAACTTGAACTCACCTGTCCAAATTCTGCTGCATGCCAACTGCGTTCTGTTCCGCCATTGTCGTAGAGGCCAAAAAGGTTCAGATGCTGTCTTCTTGGCGGAAATTAATTGCGTTACAGGTAAAACATTCGAAATTTAGTACTCGTTAATTTGTTGCAGCTAAAGTCGACGTAGAAAAACCCCCACAAAAAAACAAAAAACACCTGCTAGCAAGTTAGCTGTTGAACTAATGCTAACAAGCTACATAGGCCTTCGTCGAGATGCGGTGCAACACCCGCAAACGAACCGGTATTTTTTTTAATCAAAAAGATATTCCTCCGCCGCCGCCGCAGTCTACGTAACACTTATATGCGTTCGATAGGCTATTTCGGGCAAAATTCTTCTTTACATCTGCCACGGCCTCGTTTGGCGTGACCGTTTGACTCCATTGACAGGCTGTCTCTGAGGTAACGCAAAGACACCACGTCGGTGCGCATCTACGTAATCAAAACAAAGCAAGCGCCGCAAAGGCGAGCATGGGAAATGTAGTTTCACAATGTCCCTCTCTCTCTCCTCTCGCTTTCTTTATCTCTTCGCCGAATGCCCAAATAAAAGCTCTGAATCATCTCCAGAGTTGTCAAGAAAGACTATTAGAGGTGTATAGCCATCACTAGTACGCACTGCGAATGTAGTTATTCCCGTACGCACATGCGTGTACGCGAGTGTGAACCACGACAAATGCAATAATGTGACAAATACGGTCCAATAATCTCAGAGAGGAAACCTCATCCATAATGTGATTGCGTGACAACTGATTATACATATTTAGAAGACAATCTGTGAATGTGAGAACATATTTTTAAAATATAATGTTTTTCTATCCTTTGTGCTCGTTTGTTTTCCTATAATGTGCCTGTTTAAAAAAAAGTATACAGTATAAGTTACACTAAATTCAATGGAACTGACAGACAGAAAGACAGACACCTTTGCTTACCGGCCACTTTATCGTTTGAAACTACAACTCCCAGCAGGCTACTCGCCAGCGTCCATGCGCCGCAGTCAATCAGCTGTTCAAGCAACTGCTGACTACCTCGGCACAAGGGTAGCTCGTTTGTCATATCTAAACCCAGACGAGGCAAACAAGAAATATCTTTATTTACAGAGTCCCCAAAAGGTGAACGATAAAGGTAAATTCAAACTTCATGTTAGGCAAAGAGAAAACCAGGCTGTGTGTGCATGCTGTTTTGTCGTTTTTGTGGAGGGAGGGGGAGCATGTGGATTATACAGAGGGATTTCAAGACAAGACAGCTTGATGAAATGTATATCGGGTGCCTCGATCAGCGCGATAAACAGGCAGCTGAAGGGTCAGGTTTTGCCTTGTGTGTGTGGTAAAGAGCCGGTGAGGTGAGCCACTGTACAGCCTACTGATTGTGCTTCTTTGATGACCTTGGAATCGGGAGATCCTGGAGGAGAAAACACGGATTAACTGGTGGGGTGGGTGAGAGTGTATGTGTAACGAATGCTGTTGCGATTAAATATGAAATTCTTACTTGTGTTGCTGTCATTATAGCACTGAAATGATCTGTTATGTCAGTCTAGAGACTACTATTGAAAGGCCTGTGTGTAGGTTGTATGTTAGCTCTCTGGAGACAGTTTCCGATCAACAGACCAGATGAGTCTGACAATGATTTGACACCAAAGTGTCATATCTCATAGTTGTGCCTTTTGCTCCAGCTGGCAGAATATATACTCAGCTGCTTAATTTCGTTTCCCTGATCAGAGTATCTTGCTGTGTTTGACATTTCTGCTTGCCCTGCCTGCTCATTGTTGAGATTACCAGGCGTGTTTGGCACTTAATGTAATTCTAAATGTAAATTTGCTGACGGGATAATAGTGCGGGTCGTGTATGTTAATTGGGCTTTTCCAAGGCGTTGTCTCCAAATGCAAAGAGGGGATGATTTTGCATGAAAGGTAAAGCCTCTTACTTTAGACAGAGTAGACTTTCAGTTAAATTCCAGCCCTAGTTTAAAAGTTATTGACTGCAAATGCAAGGTACATATTGTACTATGTAAATGCCAACCCGTGGCTGTGTCAATGCGGACCTCGGGCAGAGTCTCTCTTTGCGCTCTATTAAATCCCTTCTAGGAGTCTAAAGCAGAAGCTATTATTTCTTTATGATCGAATTTGCTCAGTAAACTTCGTCGTCTTTATTAAATTATTGTATATCCACTTTGTTTTTTATTCTAGGGACATTTTATTTTTTATGACAACCGATTCAATTGGTTCAGGTGCGTCACCTAATTTCTGATGCGTAAAAAAGACCGTGTGCGTCTTTTTGGATATTATTTAAAAAATAAATTAAAAATAAAAACCCTCTGTGGTCGTGTGTCTGTGTGTAGGTCAAGCTAGAAGTGGCTTTAACCTTGCTGAAGGACAGCTGTATTTACTGACGTATGTAAATGAATATAGGGGAGGTCCTTGGGCAAAAACACGCACACAGGCACACACACTGAATCAGTTTCACGTTGCAGCTCCGGAGTTCCTGTGTGGAAGGGAAAAACGAGACGTGGCGAAATCTGGTGAATATCTGCTGCCATACTATGCTCCGTGTATAATTTGCGGGATTTCTGAATCATTCTGGTCTTGGGAAGTGGGGCTTTTCCCTCGTCCTCGTCTTCTTCTCCTTCTTCTTCTTTTCGTCTAAATGGGTGATCACGCATTCGCTTTGCAGCTGGCTGGTCCCTCTAACATCATATCCTTCTCGGAGTTGTCCCAGTTCATCAGATTCTACAGAAGCCCGGCAAGCCCGGTGCATGAGCTCCTGAGTTACAACAACAATAATAATAACTCCTCGTATCTTTTTCCCCCTGTTGCAGCTCAGCAAACCATGCAGGATGATTTACTGATGGACAAAAACAAAGCCCAGCCTCACCATCAGCAAGATCCGACACAAGCAGACCCTCCTCCCTCCACACCGACCCCGTCATCGGAGCCCGCTTCTTCTTCATCCGAGTCGGAGAGTCCGTCGACCGGGAACAACCAAGCGGCTTCAGCGCTGAGCAGCGGCAGCAAGGACAAAGCGCCGATGGAGTCGCCGATCCTACCCGGCTTGAGCTTCCACCACCAGCCGCAGGAGACCGGCGGCCCCCTTTCCTCCCCTCCGTCATCGTTTGGGAGCACTTGGTCCACTGGAACCACAAATGCCGTGGACGATAGCTTTTTCCAGGGAATACCCTCGGTGAACGGGACGATGCTTTTCCAGAACTTCCCCCACCACGTCAACCCGGTATTTGGGGGTAATTTCTCTCCGCAGATCGGTCTGGCTCCCCAGTCGCAACAGCATCAGCAGCAAGCCCAGCAGCAGCAGCAGCCCCAGCAGAGGAGATCCCCCGTCAGCCCCAACCAAGGGCCGTTCCCACAGAGAAACGCTTATCAGACCATCATGAATAACAGCAAGGGGACCTCGTCGTCGTCTTCTCCTTCGTCGTCCGCTTGGAATAATCACCAAAACGCGGCGTGGAGCACAGCCTCGAACCCCTGGAGCGGGCTGCAGCCAGGCAGGGACCCACGCAGAGCGGTGGGTGTCGGGGTAGGGGTCGGGGTTGGAGTTGGTGTCGGAGTGCCGTCACCCCTGAACCCAATCTCCCCAATGAAAAAGCCCTATAGCAGCAATGTTATAGCACCCCCAAAATTCCCACGACCCGGTCCACTCGGCCCCAAACCCTGGATGGAGGACGGCGCATTCAGGACTGACAACAGCAACAGCATACTGCCTTTCCAGGTAAACACTTCCCCTGGTGTAAGAGAAGGCCCAATATAGGCCCAGGCTTTATGTTTCAGTCTGATTGCTCTCCCTGGCACTATAAGTGCCATGTGAGGGTCTATTTATATATATATATAAATATATGTCTATGTAAATAAGCCACCAGTGCCTGAGATAGAACTACAGAAAAGTTAGATCACCCTGAGCTCAGCAGCACCACGAAGTCCTTACAGGTCTATTTATCAGCGTACGGTGAATGTTTTTTAGTTATTCAAATTACTTCCCCACATGCATCATAAACGTGGTCAAATGTCTGTGGGTTTTGTTGTTGTTGTTGTTGTTGGTTTTTAAAAAAAACTGACTCCCATATCAATTTCAATGTTTACGTTAAATGCGGACAGTTTCTAAGCAGCGACTTAATGCGGTTTACTTGAAAGTCGGGTTTTGCCGGTAGCTGTCAGCGTTATGTGGCTTGTATGTGCCGGGAGATTGTGTTTGTTTAGGTCAATTCACAGTCAAATACAACAGTGACCTTTAAGTATTAATCACGGATTGTTTATGCAGTCGAAAAGAAACATGCCAAATCAGTACTAGAAATAGACACGATTCATTGGACTTAATAGTTAATTTTCCTGCGCCAGCTCACGCTCAGTGGGGTTTAAAGGACCCACGATGCATTCAAGTGCTCCTCGTTATCCTCTATATTCTCATATTTACGGCAGCGCTATAGACTTTCAGTGCGGCGGGGTCGTGTCCGCTTGATCACTGAATAAGTGACATGTTGTGTTTAAGTCAGTAAATAATATGTCGTAACTAATGCTGGCAACTGAAGGCTGCATTATGTTTGAGAAAATATGTATCAGTACCGTCTTCGTTATCATGTAAGCTTTCGTCATTATTGCAAACATTTTTCACAGTACTTGAAAGTAACATACAAGGATTTGATTGGCCTGTGATGGAAAAGTAGGCGGTATGAAAATGACTCACAGGTCCAACCCGGAAGATAGCAAGAGTGTTATTCAGGGTCAAAAAATCCGCACGGGCGGGGCGGGGTAAACAAATGAATTAGTTCTTATGTTAAGACAGAAAACTGTCAGTAATTGTTATTTTAAAAAGTCCAAATACAACGTACCACTACTACTTGAGGCTGTAGATTAATACCACCAGCATCAGCCACAGTAACGGTAACAGATAAACGGGTAAAGGTATCAGGGGCGTAAACACCCACATAAAGACTGTATATCTGGCTTTAAAGTGAAATGTTCCGCACTGGCATGTTAGCAGTGTTATTTCCCGTCGCTTGGCCCATACTTAAGATTGTATGTGTGAAAACTAGAGAGCAGGGTCTCTTTGAGCCGTCCTTCATTAACTTGTCTGTTGGAAGACGAGACATTGCCAAATACTGCATTACCTTCTCAAATGGGTAATCACGTGTCTGCCTTGTTTGTTCTTTTCCAAGTAAGCCAACTTAAAATGTGATCAGATATTGTCTGTAAGGACCCTACAGCTCCCAGGCCTCTGGTAGAGGACCCGAGCTTGAAGGACCCAAGCTCAATTTGTGTATATATATTACATTGTTTTGGCTTAAGCTGCATCAATATAACTGTAACTGGACTCACTGTGCATATTTCCCAGTCATCCAATTTCTATATTACACTTCTACGACTCACATCTTTCATAAAATGTGGGATATTTGGAGATTCTCACAGACCGTACACAAGAGTTAGCTTAACAGGAGGTCTATACATCCTCAATCACGTAACCAATTTGTACTGAAGCTGTTTAAAATAAACAAAAAACACCTACCTGGGTAGGTTTAACATACGATCATGGTTTGGATAGGAGACAGTTTCAGTAATGTTAACCATGTATTATAAAACCTGAAAACTCCTGCATGTAAATACCAGAGCAATTAATACTATGCCGGAGTTTGCACACTTGTATAAATTGTGTGTCTGGTAATGATGCAGATGGTGCACGCTAAGGAGTCGTGAAACATTAATTCATTACACCCTAGTTTTTAAATCCAGGCAAGGATATTAAACACGGGAAAAGACAGATAAACGCCGGAAACTACCGGTACTACAGTCCGGCCTGTGATCAAATAAATGACATGCCTAATTATGAGCAGCAAACATTTATTTGGTCTCTGTTATAGGGTTACAAAAGATTTGAAATTTTACTCAAGTTGCAACTTGGCAATAAGCTCAAAGACACAAAGTCGTGAGTCATGAGTATTTGCACATTATGACCGCTTATTTCAGATAAGTAGCCGCAGATGCATGTGACCTGAGTGGTACATGCAGATGAACAGAGAGGACAGATGAAATGTGACTCGACACGGGGTGAAATTCCAGCCGGCTTGAAATGTATAGGCCTTTCAGGAGATAGTGATTGTGTTTGTCAGTCCGACTCTTTAGGCTTTTTTACTCGGTTCCCTTGACCGAGAGCCTCTGCCCGAGCTTTCTTGACTTGGCTGGATTACAGCTGGACTTATCACCAGGAGACAAGGTCAAGGGCCACATGTCACGCTGTATGGAGTGGTCTGTTTACTGAAGTGAAACTCAGGCAGACCGCAGAGATGAAGTACAGCAGCCTTGTGCTTTCATGTGGTGCCAGATGAATAATTAGGGTAGTGACTTATATACAGTCAGCTGATTCTAGTTCGTTTTTTGTTATATTATGTATTGTGATATCTGGTCATTATGATCAAGGTTTCTCTTCAGGAAACAAAACAAAAAATGTTTACAACTCACAGCTCCTGTGGCAGTGACTTTTATTGCACCAGTAATGTTGTTTTTAAGCTATTTTAAGAATTTCTTAGTCAGACAGGCTCATTGCTCTTTCGTGTGTTTTGTTCACACTTAGCTGTTTGGCAATAACGTCATAATTGGAGAGGAGTTATCACCAGGATGCAAGGTCAGAATGCCACATGTCGACTGGCCTGTTTACCGAAGTGAAACTCAGGGAAATTGCTGCATGAGCAGCAGGCAGGGTACACACCCTGTGGTAACCACGCGGACAGCTGGTGACAGGTGTGCTTGCTGTCATAGTTTAGCTCTCCCTCGGTATTACTCACATGCTCCCGATGTAGCGCAGGCTGAAGGTTCAGTCACGTGTGCGCCTGACACTGGCTGCTGCTCGGAAGGCAGAAGAATGTGTGGAATTCACTTTAATATGTCAGTGTGAACCCTGACACACACATTCACATGATCTTCCAGGGCGATACCCTGGCCTTCTGTGATTGTAATCACATACAGATTCAGAAGGGTGTTAGTAGACAGACGGACAGGTGGACTCTTGTATTCAAATGCATCTAAAAAGGTATAGCTGGCATGGAGTTTTCCTTTTTTTTTTTTCCCCCATGGCAGCTTGAGCCAGATAAAAGGTTCATGCCGTTTGTTAACTGACAACTCCAAGGCCTCCACCCTAGGAACTTTCCTCCGAGATTAAGAACCTTTAAAGCAACTTTGTGCTTCGACCAAAAGGACTAGGGTCTAAATTTCTGGGGGAAATCAAAGTATCTTCTCAAAACTTCATTCTTTTGAGTAATCAAACGTTTTGATAGATCAGTATTTGCTTGATTTTATTTTATTCTGTCTTAAATTCAACAATCAAATCAAAAGAATTGTAGAACAAACTGCACAACAGATTAATTTATGATGGGGTATAGCTGTGCGCACACATGGCATGTAAAAACAAGTGTTCCCTTTTCATATGCCAGACAGACTTGTGAAAGAATGGCTCATCCTAAAAGACTCATCGAATTTTGAGCAGCATGGTGTAACAGGATGCCATGACTGCAACAAGTCAGTTCTTGATATTTCTTCCCTGCTTGACATTCTGTGATCGTCTGTAAGTGGTGTTATTGTAAAGTGGAAGCATTTAGGAACCACAGCAGCTCAGCCACGAAGTGTCTGACCACGTAAAGTTACAGAGTGGGGTCACCGAGTGCTGCGGCGCACAGTGCATTAAAGTCGCCAACGCTCTGCTGACTCAATAACTGCAGAGCTCCAAACCACCCCTGTCAATAACATCAGCACAAAAACTGCACTGGGAGCTTCATGGTATTGGTTTCCACAGCCAAGCAGCTCCTACAGGTGTAATGTGTACACTTCACTTTAGTTTTGTCTATTATAGCGCGTGTGTGTGTGTGTGTATACTTGTATACAGTATACTTACAGTGTACCAAGTATATATACACAGTAAAGTTTTGCTGAAAAGGGGAAATATTTGAGTCATTGTTTAACTTTCCAGTAGTGTATTGCATAAACTAGAAAGCTGCTTATCATGATGACATCATGACTCAGCAGATCCACTTGCATAAATGTGATGCTACTCTGCTGCATGTGCTGCAGACATTTAGTTCATGAATTTATTATGCCTATGTAAAATATGTTGCTCAGTGGAAAGCACATATTGAATTTAATCATTCTCAATTCAGTATTAGGAAGGCTCATTATAATGCTGTTCAAGAGAAACAGGAGCCTGTAATTTAATCATAACGATTATGCTCTCTTGTTACCTTTGGGACTTTTCTCATCGATCGCTTTCTTGCGCTATAGAGAAGACGTTGTGAAGGTCACAATAATGCATAACTTATAAAAAATATATTAATGATAAATCTGCCAGCCCTCTACCTTATGAGCACCCTTCATTTATTACAAACAGATACTCATGCTTGGCTTTTTTCTTATCTTGATCTCCCCGATAAATGCTCTTATGTCTTATGTGTGGATCACAAGGAAAGATGAGCTGCAGCATAGTCAAGCTAGATGAAGTCGGCCCTGCATTCCACGCTCTGGGAACTCGCATAAAGAGTTCAAGAATGAGCTCTGTCTGCGATTTATAGTGCATAATATCTCACTGTTGCGAGTTCTCCGACCTGCTACCCATCACCGCGTCCATCCATATGTGTCAGAAAGGAGGGGTGGGAGAGGAAACTAAAAGCTCAGCGTTTTAAGTGTTTACGGTTTGTACCAAGTGGGCAGATTTTTATCTGTGTGGCGCTGTCAGGTCCAGAGTGAGGGGAATAACACTTTTGAATGCTCAGCCGAATGGGCAACAATAGCTGTGGTGTGCAAACAATGTAGGCCCAGCTCAGGCGGCGGACACAGGACACAGCTGCCAAGGCCGCGCCACTCTAGCTCCGGTTGGGCGCTTTCAGGCCTTACCTTTGGCACACATGTTGTTCTCATGAATTCATTCACACCTAACAGGAATACATGCACTTCATCAGCAGGGAGCTGTTTAACCTTGAGGTGTCTGATATAGTACTAATCCGACTCTTTGGGATGTAGTAGAACGACCTGTCTTACAAGATCTGAAAGTTTGAGAGGTTTCGTGAACAGTCAGGCAGAAATGCATACCAAAGGACACACAAACAAAAGTTCTCAGTACCTCATGACAGCTGCAGCATCTAACTTTAACTATTGAGGGAGGTTTCAAAACCAGTTTTCTCAAGTGAAGCTGAGTTCCTGTCTGATTGACTTGACGAGAAGGGACAGCTTTTATAACCTTTACATAATAATCTGGGGTTCAGTTTTAGACTGTTTTAAATCCTTGTATGCTTGATTTATTATTTAGATTTATTGGCTTCATTAGCTTCATAAACAGAGAAACAACTTCACAGTTCTTCAGTATATGGTATCCAAAAAAGTGTCACTCTAGTATGAAAGTGAAAGGTTGAAAGTTGGATCTTATCCCAGCACCAGGTCTGAATCTGTTCACGGATGATCCTGTTTGTTGAATCAAGAGCTGAGTCAAGCGTTGACTGATTTCCTAATTGGTTGTGAAAGTGAAAAAGACTAGAAGATGTGCATGTGTCACCTTGTGCAAACAAGCAATAGACTATTAAAATGAAGGAACATCTCAACAACACAATAGTGACATTTTATTTTTCTACACTGGAAACCATAGGCTGAAAACAGTAAATGTGAAATACTAAAATGCTTTCAGGATAGCCCAGCAACTGACTCATAGATCATTGCTTAGTATCACCTGTTTACTGGCATCTCCAGGGCCTACTTCACCTACTTAAGTTCAAGTCTGGATCCCTTATTTCCATTAGTCCTGTGACTCAGAAGACACGCTGCATTTGAATGGGGAAAGCAAGAATGTTCTTTCTTTTTAACACACAAAAAAGGGAGTTGCCGACAGATGCAAGTCGTTGCTAGCGATGTGCCCTTGAGCAGGGTACCTAACCAGAAATTCAACAGCTAAACATGCCAGTTAAAGTTTGCCACGTTTTGAAGAAGGTAAAGCAGATCACGACTGGAATGCAGGGCTGTTCCCACAATGATGACGAGGCAGAAATAGAAACCTATCGTCCCTCTATATATATATATATATGAATATGAATGAATTATTTTTATTTCAAGTTTTATTCTAAATAACTATCTGCAAGATCTAAATCTTCTCTACATTTTAAAAATTGTCACCTCAAATCATAGTTTTTTGTTTTGTTCTTTTTTTCAGGTTTATAATTTTACTGTCTTATCATTTTCAAATGTGTGTTAAACAGGTAGTACAGTACCGGTTCTGCTCCCATTGTAGCATTACAGGATACTTTCCCATCTTTGTTTTGCGTGCGATCTACTGTGATGACTCTAATGCGAACGCTCTTCCTGTTTTGCTGTGTTGCAGGACCGGAATCGGCCCTTTGATGCTTTTAGCTTGCACTCTTTGGAGAATTCCTTAATGGATATGATAAGGACTGACCATGACAAAGGTAAACCACACCCTGCCGGTGGCCCACCAATGACTATCGCTGATATTATATGGAGGAATCATTTTGCAGGTTAGGAATATTCATACGTCCATGCTTGCAGTTTTTAGGTTGCTTAATTTTTTTTTTAATTTTAATTTTTGCGCTTGGGCATATGTCATCTCTGGATACATCTGTTTTTCATTTGCTCTATTTGCCGATCTCTTAACCAATCCAGTATGAATCATTACACTCTGTTTAAAATTAAAGTGAATCTGAATCATTATGAACCTTACCTGCAAAACCTCACATATGTTTTGTGTGTCTGTGTCTGTGTGTGCACTCTAAACCAGAGGTGAACCTAGTGGTCCTTTGTACAAATGTTTTGTTGTTTTCTTTTACTTCCTCTTTTTGTCTTTGTTGCCTCCTGTATATGGTGATAACAATCAATGGATAAAGAGATAATGTCACAAGACTCGTCTTTTGTTTGGTAAACGTGTTGCGCAATTGAGTGTATTTGTGGTTAATGTTTTATTTGCCTGTAAATTTGGACTTACATGTGTCATAGATGAAATAGAGACATAGCATATCAGATGATTTGAAACACAACACAAAGATGAATTTAGACTAACATGTATTTAAAAAAAATACAATTGCATTTCTCAAAAGTGTTGTCAGATTGTGAAATCAAGGTTAAAAATTCCTCTTCGTAGAATTCTTGGGCCGTGTGGTGTAGGTCAGGTCTTCTGAGTCAGTATTTTTGTAGCACCAGTCACGTGTCAATTGTAAAAACTCCTGTTTCCCAGATGGGGCCCTGTCAGGTTGGGTGTAGGGGTTTTTTGTTGTTTTTTTTATACCCTCTCTGTCCTCCTATCTTAACAATGGAAAGGTTGGTGGGAGGGGTACATAATGAGTGGAGAATGTCATTTTCCCATGCATAAAGTCTGTTTTCCTAATCTTGTGCTGAGCGAGCATTGTTGCACGCTCATCACATCCCCGGCTTAACTTTACTGGAAAGGTGTCGTAATGTCCTGCAGGGCTTCTCTTGGGATTGTTTGTGAAAGCACAACGGACACGTAGGAGATATGAGCAAAGTAGGGCGGGTGGATCATGAAAATGGGTGTGTGTGTGTTCCTGATTCTCTCCTGGCTTGTTTACCCCTCACTTTGTCATGTAGACAGCACGGGGCTGTAGTAAACTGCGGTGCCAACCACAGAGCAGCTCCACCCTGCTAGCGTACCTTCTCACTGTTTGAAAAGGGCCCTGTGCCTCGGCCCTGTCTGCTGAATAATCTGTTGCTGGTGCTTTTGTTTTTTTTTTTCTGGCTCAGAAGGTATTTTAACTCTAATTATCTGACCCGTGTAATCCTAGATTGAAATCTTCCTGACAATGCTGAATTAGTATTGAAGTAACACTAATACAACCACATTATGTAAAGAAACCTTTTTGCAATATAATGTGTTGATAATTCAGGGCCATTTAGTTGTGTAAATCGTTCAGTTGTGACATTTTCAAAAGTAATTCATTAAGAAATTCTGCGTCTGTGGTCATGTGCAGCATTTGTTGCAAGCAGAAATGTAAGGTCCAGAGGGAACAGGGTAAGAGGCAGGATTTCCCAAATGGGTTGACGAGCAAAATTCCAGTAATTGAAGAAATGTTGCAAAAATGTAACTTTGGCTCATAAATTTTGAAAGCATCACTTGGTACTTGCTCCAAATATGGGGTCATGTTCAGGTTAGCGTGACAAGTTGACAGATTGCAGTTTTGTTTTTCCTCTGTTTAAAAACCTCATGTTAGCTGATTTTCTGTTTTTGTTCTGTTTTTTGTTTGGTTTTGACTGGTTGGTTGCAAGAAAATGTATCAAACCCAGAAATATCATATTTAGTTAACAATGAAGTTGTAACGAAATTTTCTAAATTTTGCTACAACTTCAAGGTTTTGCATATCTTTTCTGGACACCAGCCAACAAAGATGTACTCATGTCAGACATTAGCTAGTTGTTAACTTCCCGGCTCACTTGTTAAAATCTGCATGTAATACTTTCTGTTTGGTTAGCTTGCAGAGTTTGGCTAATCTTACCAGTGTTAGCAGCAATAGCCTTGGTTTATTTCATGTCAGCACAAAATATGTTTACACAGTTACTTGGTTTTATTCCAATTTATTCTGACAAAGCTAACCTACACAATGTTTGTGCAATGTTTCATTCAGATTGGCCTACCTGTTAAGGAGGAAATGGGGAAATACATTTAACAGACTACTCTTCTGTCACTGACTATTAAGGGCAGCAACATTTAAACATGTAGTAGACTAGTCCCGCAGATCCTTATTGGCAAGTGGGCAAAATGTGGACTGCCTTCCATGGCTGAAACCATACTGAATATTTTAAATGGCAAACTTGTTTGTTTTCTGCTGAGTGCAATATGTGATCAAGAATAACGTTGAGAAAATACCCCAACTAGACATTACTAGAAATTAAAAGCAGCTTATGCCTTGATTAAGGCTACCTAGAAAATTAGCCATGTAGGTAGAAGATCCTAACCCTGACTGTTCAAATCTGATTGGTTGATCATTTCTGAGTGGAGGAAGAAAATGTCATTTTTATATGGAACTTTCTAAATTTGTGAAAGTTTGTGTGTTTGTGCGCTGTAAACGGTGCAGTTGCTTTTTTTTTTTTTTAGTTTTATTAGTCTGTGGATTAAGATCATCTTTCACATTTGGGTAGTGCCAGGCTAGCATGAATGGTAATAGGAACAGGAGGTTTTGTTCCAGAGGCACTGAGGCCTGACCTGTCGAACCTGATCAAACTTTCTGACACTCAGAACGAGAGTATCTCTGAAAAACTAGAAAAAAATATCCACGACAACATTGTCATTACTTAAGAATCCACATATCTGATCAGTAAATCTTAACTGAATGTACACTTATTGTTGTTTCACAGGCAAGTTACTGCTGTAGCGACTCCAACATCTTACTTTAGGGAGACTCTTCACCAGCTGAAAGCCACCAGTCAAAACAAATTAACCCAGTAGGCTCAGTTTTGCATTCCCAACCGAATGGGTACCGCCCACATCAATCCCATCAAAGACATTTCTCACATAGTTCTCATTGTGCCTGGAATAGCTGTTTTTCCTTGAGTGTTTTATGAGTCCCTGCGCCTTCTTCTCTTTCTTAAGAAGAAAAAGTACTCAGTATTGTGATGTGTGAATCAGTGAGGTGTGAGGTGACCTCATCCACACACCCTTTAAAGACAGGGGTGGGACCACCTCATTTTGTTTCTTCTGAGCTCTTGTTTTGAGAAGTTTCTGCTTCAAAGACACGCTCCATTACAGTCAATGTTTTAAACTTTCTAAAAGCTCTTTACTCCTGGTTGAGGGGAGCAGGGCCACAGGGACATCTGAACAAACGAACCCTTTTTGCAGACACACACACACACAGGTCAGCTGAGCTCATGTGTGGAGGACTAAAGACTCACACAAACACACACACATGTGCTGGAAAAACACCACCACTCTGACAACAACCACTACTTCTGCTGCCAGTGGTAGCATTTGATGCACACATGCACACACACGTGCATGCACACACGAAGGAAACACACTTTCAAATTCTTGCTGACATGTAAATCAGCTCTGGCATTCCATGCAAAGCACTCTCACCTCATATACTCTTCTGTTGAGCTGTCACTTATTCCTGTCTATGGATCAGACAGCTCAAGAGGTGTGATGGTGTGACTGCAGCCACTCCTTAAAAACACACACAGACACACACTTCTAGATGTTGTCACTAATAAGTTGAGATGCTCGAAAGTCCTTATAACCCTCGTGGAAGCGCTGTGTAGATCCCACCCCACCCACAATGTGTCTCTCCTAATGCACACGCACACACATTGCCTCAGCTGGTCTGAATCACACGATCTTGCATCAGTTACAATTTGCATCAGTTTCAGTGTGTGAGAGCAGCCTTTAGAAGACTGGAAGTAGTTTATTTTCATAACGAGGTACTATTTCAGTTGTGTATTTAAAGGGTTGGTTCAGCATTTGCTAAATGTGCTGGCTTTATTCACCTCTGAGACTTCAATAAGAAGATAGGCTCTGCTATCGAAACAGCTGCTGTAGTTTGCTCTAGTTTAGCATTAGGGTTACAAATCTATCACCTTATGACGGGGGAGAACTGTTCAGAATCCCAAATTTGTGGTGTTTCTATAGTTTTGAAGAGTTTTTAAAAAAACAACAACTTATATTTATGAAAACATAAAACCGTGCTTTCTGATTTCTCAAAAACAACCCTCAAATTAGCCCCTGACCTCTGCCCTGGTACAAAAAACTGAAGAGGGCCATCTCTGAAAGGTCAGTTTCTGAGGTTTGTTGAGTTGTTTTGATTTAATAAATGGTAGCGAACATAACTTAGATGTATCTTTAGGTGCTTGAAGTTAGACTAAACTGCGTTCAAAGGAAAGATCCCTATGGGGGCATGCATTACAAGCAAACACAGACAGTGACTGTGGGGTGGGTGGGGGTAAAAGTATCACATTGTCGGTTTAGCATTATTTCCACAGAGTTTAAGATAAGCTACAGTGGGGCAAAAAAGTATTTAGTCAGCCACCGATTGTGCAAGTTCCCCCACTTAAAATGATGACAGAGGTCAGTAATTTGCACCAGAGGTACACTT